GAACAGACAAAAAGCATATGAGGAAATGCTTAACATCCCTCATCATAAGGGAGATGCATATTAAAACTAAAATGAGATACCCCCTAAGGCCTGTCAGAATGGTGAAGATTAAAAAAAAAACAATAAAAAGTTTTTGAGGGATTGTGGTGAAAGGGGAACTCTCCTACACTGTTGGTGGGAATGTGAATTGGTCCACCACTGTAGAAAACAAAATGGAGTTTCCCCAAAAACCTACAAATAGAATTACCATATGATCCAACAATTCTATTCCTGGGTATCTACGGAAAGGACAGTAGAATGCTCAGTTGGAAAAGTGCTTGCACTTGTATATTTATTACAGCATTATTCACGATTGCCAAAGCATGGAAACAACCCAAATGTCTATGAACAGATGAATAGGCTGAAAAAGTGTGGCACATATAGTCTATGGAATACTATTCAGCTATAAAAACCAACAAGACCCTGGCATTTGATAGAAAGTGGATGGATATGGAAGATTTATCGCTGAGTGAAGCAAGTCAGGTTATGAGAGACATTGTATGTCTCCACTTAACATACACCAACTGTCTGTACTCTATGGTAGAGACCAAAAGATTGGAGAACATAAAAGAATTGAAAATAGTTATGGACACTGGAGACAGTGTGGAAGGAGAGGGGGAGAAGCAAAGAGAGAAGGGAAGGAAATTAGGGAGAAGGAAGACATTTGTGGGAAACAGAAATTATTTATTACCTGTTGATAACCTTTATAGTATTCTAAACTGGCCTGGTCAGAGGTGGATTTCAAGTTGGGTAAGTTCTCTTTACAAGCTAAATGATGTATAGTGATTGAATGTATAAAATAATAATAATACTAAAACTGGAAAAATGCCAATGAATGGCACAATTTATCTATTCAACTCATACTGGAAAATTGGGAGCCATTCTCATCCTTCACATTTCCTTTATTTCCCATATACAGTTTATTTTTAAATCCTACTGATTTTACTCCTAAATATCTTCCTTAACCATCATTTTAGTCTGACTTTCTTTGTTCTGTTTGAGGAATTTGTATCCTATCATCAGACCTATTCCTTTGACTTCTTGAGAGCTTTTCAGGTAGTTTTTCTCAGTCTTCTTGATCTTTTCCCAGCAAGTGAACATCTTATCATGACTATATGTGTGTGTATGTGTGTGTGTGTGTGTGTATAATTGCCTGTGTGTGTGTGTGTGTGTGTGTGTGAGAGAGAGAGAGAGAGAGAGAGAGCCAGAAAGAGAGAGAGAATTCTTACAATAAAGTGTGGTCATACCACAATTCCTTTTCCCATTCCATCAGGATTTTGGGCACACGTGAGCATGTGCCTGGTATGATTTTAAGTGGTTGGGGCCAGGATTGAACAGCCGTTGGCCATGTAAGATCTGGCTCCCTATGTACAGGGCTTAACTGCTGCACTATTTGACTGGCCTATGACAGCATAATGTTTATTTGTATTTCCTGATTGCTTTTCTAACCAGCCTTTGGTCTACTTCTCTAACTTTATCTCTCAATACTTCTAGGCTCTCATCAGATTCTATTAAGTATATAGAACTAGGATTCTTCTCTATTATGATTCGCCTCCATGAATTGCATATGCTGTGTTCTCTGACCAAACCATTCTGCCTTTCTTCACCTGACCATTGCCTTCTAACTAATTTTTCAAGACTTCAGAATCATTTCTTTTTGAAAGGTTTTTCCTAGGTTAGGTTAATAGTGCTCCTTTTCATGGTTTTCTTCTGTTTTTCCTTAATACTATATGCACACACAAGTTGTGGCACTTATCATGCTGCATTACAACCATTTAGTTACTTGTTACTTATCTTTCTCCCCTGCTTGTCTGACAGTTTTTGAAGGTTCAGAATTGTGTCTTGTTCAATCTTTATTCACACTTCCAGATGCAAAGTACATGCTTAATATATGTAGGTTAATTGAATGAATAATTTTGAGGGGGGAGGTGAGAAAATGCAGGTGGAAGATAACTAGTGTGCACAGATACTTACAAATGCCATGAGTCTATTCTGAGTCTCATAGTGAGGTATAAGTGGTAGAGAGTGAAACAGGCAGGATAATGATCCTCCTAGAAAGCTGCTGACATGGTCACGTGGGTATTTTTCTCTTGCTTTGATCATTCCAGGGAGCTTCATGATTGCTTTATGACTTGCACAAATTACAGAGGACATGACTTGGGAGTCAGCAGGCTTAGTTTTACTATTAACTTTCTTAAGTCCCTGACAAAACTATTTGAATTTTTGGGACCAGCAGTTAGCGTAATGGCTATGTCGCTGGACTCCCACGACCGCGGTTCGCGTCCTGGACCTGGTGGCTTAAAACTCACGCCGGGCGCGTGTGCATGAGTGCCCAAGATCCCGAGAGGAGAATAGAGGAGAGGGGATTGCGGCGTGACCATCCCCTCTGGGGGGTGATTTCTCGCTTTCTGTCTCTATGTCTCTCTCTGTCTGGCGAGCGCACGCGCCCTATAGTGAAAACCTCTCCAAAAATAAAAGAGAAGAAGAAGAAGAAACAAAACCTATTTGAACTTTCTAGTTTATTCTTTGTCATCTGCAAACTGAACATTTTGCTTTAGAGCGGTTATTTTCAAACGTTTAAACACCACCAAGTCATTTTCTAATTCAATATCTTGTGTAAAAGCCCAACATATGAAAGCAGAGCTACTTTGGTTGACCACTGAGGGTTTTCTGTTGGTCATCTCTTCCCCTACAGTGGCTTCTGGAAGGGGACTTTTTGATTTAGAGTTTACCCTTTATTTGACCAATACTGTAAATACTCTTCCAGTTCTCATATTCATTTATAGTTTTAAAAATTAAACAATAGGTGAATAAATAAAATTAAATAAAAATAATTAAAAAGTAAAATTAAAAAAAGGATACCAGCAGGTGCCATAGTGGTTAAAGCACACTCCCTCATGGCTCACCACGGTTCAAGTCCCAGACCTGGTGGCTTACTTTCTCTCTCTCTCTCTGTCTCTCTCTGGTCAAATAAAATAAATGAATGAATGAATAAAATAAAATAAAATAATTATAAATAAATAAATAAATAAATAAATAAGTAAAATTAGACAATAGGCTATCAGGTGGCGTGGAGGTTAAGGTGCTGAATCTTATATGGCAGGCTGTGTGGTTTGACTCCCATATCTAGTGGCTTGAAAAAAATCATACTGGGCATGTATGGATGCATGGTCATTCTTCCAAGAAGAGACTGGAATAGAAGGGATTGTGGCATGGCTATTTCTCCTTGGGGGTCTAGCCGGGGGCCCCTCACTTTTGCTCTTTCTGCGTCTTTCTCTTTCTCTTTGGTGAGTGCACACACCTTATTGCAGAAAAAAAAAAGAAGTTAGACAATGGTTTCTTTGGCATGAGGTACACTAAAGCTGAACTTTCTCCTTTTATTTTGTTTTTTTTTTTGTTTTTTGGAGAGGTTTTTTGCTATAGGGACTGGCTATAGGGTGCGTGCACTCACCAGAAAAACAGAGAAAGACAGAAAGACAGAAAGCGAGAAATCACTCCCCAGGGGAGATGGCCACTCCGCAATCCCTTCTCCATTCGCCTTTTGCAGTCTTGGGCTAATACACACATGTGCGCCCGGCGTGAGTTTAAGTCTCTGGGTCTGGGACTCGAACTGGGGTTGGCTACATGGGAGTCCAGCGACATAGCCATTACACTAACTGCTGGTCCCTGAACTTTCTCCATTTTGATAGGAGTCTATTGATTTCTAAACTGGTATTTATCTGGTATGCACTGATACTTGGTATCAGTGTTCTAGATATATATGTCCAGTGTTCCGTCTAATTACTCTGATGTCTACTTATGCTGATTGGTTGATACCCATCTTGTAGTGATTGTTAAATATTTGCACAGTCACTCTGGTTTCTGGCTCATGCCATAGTGTGTGAATTTAGTAAAGGAAAAATGATATATTAGCAGTTTTTCTTTTCTCTCCTTCCTTCCTCCCTCCTTTTCTTCCTTTTTATTAAACTCAATTATTTATTTGTTCTTTATATAATATTCAGAAATTGAAAATATTCTTCAATTTTTAGGTTTATATTTTCAATTTCTTACCTTAAATTAGTACATTTCAAATATCTTTTTGTGTGTGCCTAATTTGTTTCTAAAAGTAAAACAAATTTTTGTTTCAACAATGAGATATTAGCTAATAAAAGTCTTAATAAAACTATTAATTATTTTGTTAAACTTTTTTGATACCCAATCCCTAAGATACGTATGAGATCATTGAGTTTATCAGATTACTTATCATGATAATATATATAAGCATGGGTCTGCAAAATTTCATAAATTATTCAAACAAATTCTACCATCAGAAAATATTATAATAGGATATTATATGGCACCCTTTTTATCATTAGAAATAATATTTATATTGGTATTTTTTTCATTACATGTAATATGAATTTGAAAATAGTACATGTTATTAGAATAACTCAGCCTGAATTACAGTAAAAGGTGATTATAACAGATGCTTTTAAAATAAAAATATATGTTAATGAATCCTAAATCTTGGACACTGTGGATTCCACTATAATCACATTTCAGTGAATGGATGATTTGGATATGTTCCAGTATTTACTAATACTTGAGGATAGGAGGTTTAAATGTTCAAATTTGCATTATTTTCTAGCTTCATTATTGTGAGAACTAACTTAGAGACAATCAGCTATGCTGGAATACATAAACTTATTTTGAAGTTAAAAGGTGATGCTGTTTAATATTCTGCTAAATTCTTGTATTCATACATATTTGTGCAGCTCATCAGTGGAATCCAGTTGCCTATTAGTCATTCATCATCGAGCAAAACTGACACACTAGTGATTATAGAAGTTTTTGGTGTTCCGAATGATCAAGTGAAACAGCAGACTCGTGTCATTAGAAAAAATGGTGAGCTTCTCATAGATTTTAGTGAATTTCCATTAGACATCTTGTAAAGATCGCAAATTATCGGTGGATAGAGTTTTTATACATTTTTGTTATTTGCAAGGAAAAGGATTTGCGTTATGCTTGAGATTTCCGAAACATCATTTGCAGAAAAAACAATTTGAAAATGCTTGGATCGTTTAAGTATATTTTCAGATTATAGATTCAAAAGTTTATCTGACCCACAAAATGATTACTTTTCACAAGACTTTTACTTCCTTTTTATGCTTTCCCCCATATCACTGAAGAAAGATGCTCTGACAGCTGCAAATCCATTTAGCCTATAACCTCTGCATTAGATAGAAAACGTGTGATTGTTCCAGTAGAACGTATTACACCTCTTTACTTCGTTGTTTCAATTATTTTAGATCAAAGGTCTGTGACTTCTCACTCAGGCTAAGGGACCACAGAAACTTGCTGATACAATATTTGAATTCATAATTCATTTTTGCCAGAAGGGAAGTGTAGGATTGAAAGAACTAACTTTGGTAAGATTTCCAGCATCCCTGTATTTCTGTGTTTAATATAATGAGGTACTAACATTGCCATTTCTTCTCTGCCGTTGACATCACCAAGAAAATCAGAAAAGGATAGATTCTAGGATTGAGTGTTGGCCAGGATCATTTTTGGAGGAGACCTAGGAACTGATTCTCAAGTCTGGACTCCTCTTTGAGACTATTTACCCAAGGTAGAGTGGCTTCCCTTTCCGAGTCTGGAAATACGCTTCAGGCTAATTGGTGCTGGCAAAGGAGCAGGTGCTGTTTCATTCATCTTTTTCTTCTTGATGATCATTTCTAACAATGTTCACTGCCTACCTTCCTTGCATCCTCCAAATACTCCCATAGTATCTAGTACAAAAGGCAGGGACAAAGATTTAGAAAGTTTTTGTAGCCACAGCCCATGTTACCAATGGGAATGGATATTGGTGATGATTCTGACTAATTTGGCATTCCT